GGTGTAAAGCTCTTAATTCCTTCAAGAGCTCCCCACAGACGGCGCCAAATGATGGGTTTCTTCTCAGATATGGAACGGTCCAATGGGAAAACGTCCGGATCTGGGACGAACCGGTGCGGATGAGCTTAGATCTGAGGCGATAGCGTTCGAACCGCTGTTGCGCCGCAAGAACACCTGCAAGAACTCAACGTCGGAGGGGTTTCCGGCGTAGAGCCTCCGACGCTCAAGTCAGTATGTGAGAGAGATGACGGAAGCTGCTCTCAGAGCAGCAGCAGCAGTAATCAAAAGGATATCTAATGAATGGGAGTTAGGGTTTTGGGCTTACCTCAGTCCTTTATATAGAAGTGCAATATTTACCTGAAGTCCCCAAAGTGCCCCGGCCGACTCAATGGAAATGTCCAGAATACCCCGGTCGGTTCATATTCTGCCCACTTCCTAGTCAGCATCTAGATCCTTCCTTAGCTTCATTCTTATCCTTAACTCTCCTTCAATATGCTGAGGTGTCAAAGCTATCGGGAACCACGAATTGCAAGACTCCTTCAGTCGACTTGAGGTATTGAGTCGAGTCGACTGGATCGCATCCCACCGTTAATGGACCCTGATACGTCTGATCGCTGTCTTGCCGAGGTCGACTCGTTCTAGTCGACAGGTGTACGTCGACTCGGTCGAGAACCGGGCTTCTTGATTGAATACCGTGAAACCCTTCTGGCGGAGTCGACTGTGTTGTAATCGACTTGGCAGTTTCGAACCGTGATGATATGAACCGTTATGAGCCGATTGTGGCAGTGCGACGGTTACTGAACCGTTGCACGATAGTATGGCTATATCATCGGGTAATTATTATTAGAGTCTCAATTGTAAATTAGGCTAGGAAAAGAGTGTGTAATAATATTATGTTAGTGACCCATAATATTATTTAAGTAACTAGAAGAGTGGGCTTGACCCACAGTTGGTCTAATTAATTATGGAGATCTATTCCTAATTATATAAGGGTCCCTACTGTAGCTCTATATATACACCATTAGGCTCATGAGAAGAGAACACATATCACATTATTCACGTGATACACGCGCCTCTCTTCTTTCTCTCTAGATCTCATTCGAGCTTTAACTTATTCATGTTGCTCCACTGGTACAAGTTGAAGAGGTGTTTGAGTAATACGGTAGAAGATCCAAAGGTATTCGAGACCCGGTGATCTTCCACAGAAGTCGACGATCCACGACCCGAAGCTGAAGACCGCCGACCAGCCGACCGATCGCCGTCCGCCGCTGGAGACGACACGATCGTCGACAGTTCGCGACATGGCCAATCGGAGCGATACGATCGACACCCGCAGCCCGCGACACAACCCAAGCGATCGCACGTGACACTCTTTCCTGTTCATGTGATCCAGTTCTGTCCGTGTCCTGTTCTCGGTCAACCCAAATTAGCCAATTTCAGAAAATTATAAGCCGTAAGTTTTCTACGTCAAACCTTAGATCCGCTGTGAATAGGTTTACATTTGCTATGGAATTCGTGATTTGTACATAATGAGATCTTCACAGATCCCAACAATTACTAATTTCGATGGTCTTGGTGGCCGACGGGTAACGGGGGTTGGGGTCCATGACTGATCTCTACCGGGGAGCCAACCTAGCGGAGGTCCCCCTCCCATAGGACGCTTGTGCAACCAAGAATTGTCCTCCTCCCTTTACTCGCGCTCTCTTTTCTCCACTATCTTTTCTCTTTGCATTTCTTCATTTGCTTTCTGATTATTGTATGTTAGATACCACCAGATTAACGCCGATTGAGCTAGAGTCCCACAAATGGCGCCAATTTGATATGGTATGAGATAATTTGCTCAGTTTTTCGAAAGGGCTCTTCCGGTTTGAGCATAAGTCCTTCTAACTTGATCTGGTCCAAGTCCGAAAGCTCACCGTTACCTGAAAAGAGCGCCACATTTACTCCGGTGCAAGATCCTCCGACGCCCAAGTTAGTATCTCAGAGTTGAAGGATGATTTTGCAATAAATGCAACCATAATTGTAATAAATGAGTATTGCCTTACCACCGTTGAATTAACCCTTTATATAACGTTTGATTGTACGGTTCTCCTTTTGGAATCATAAGTTCTCGAACGTCCGTCGATCGGGCATAATTTAATCAATGTCCGATCTTACGTATCGATACTCGACCCAACTGGCAACGATTATCAATATCGAACTTGGGTCGATGTTCGACCCTTCGGCCCAAGTGGCCAGATTCGACCTTTCGAACTGGTTGATCCTCCGGCCCAATCGACCCCGGTTCGACCCTATGGCCCAATTGACCCCGATTTTACGGGTCTTTATTTGGTTGAATCGGGATGGTACTATAACCTATCAATATTAAAGACTGATGGTTCGCAAATTACTAATATTACTCCTAACCCTTCAACTTTTACCATAATTCAGAACACATCCCCAAAATTTTGGGGAAGAGAATGAAATCAAACTATAGACTTTTCAGATCATCCACCCATTCAAAACAAAATTTTGGAAGGACATAATAGACAAATCAACCAAATGTTGTTGCATCTTTGAGCCAAATTCGGTATGAACTGCGAAACCGCATAAACAGAGGCCTCTCTCTCTCTCTCTCTCTCTCTCTCTCTCTCTCTCTCTCTCCACCGCATTCCAGTAATCACTCTCTCTCTCTCTGTCTGTACCTCGCCGTTGAGCTTTCACCGGCTTCCACCACCAAGGCACGAGCTTTCTCATCGCGTTGCAGATTACATAGGCATTCTTGACTTTCGTGCCTGTGTGATTGTTGACCAATTTTGAGCTGAAGCTGTAGGGCGCTCAGAAATCGGAACACTCTCTCGCTCGTTGGCACCTCGATTTTTTCTACCTGACATTTCGTAGCCTTATTATTTTAATCTATTCAAGCTCTGAAGGTACCTGTGATTCATGATGTAATTGTTGTTGTTTTATTTTTATTTTATTTTATTAATCTGTTGTTAATCAACTTAAACAGAATTGGGATATTTGTTTTTCGGTGTCGTCGTTGTGTTTCTCGTTTAGTGAGACATGGGTTTTCATCCCCACCCTTAATGCATGAAGAAATCACCTTCTCGTTTTGGTAACTGAATTAGGATTTCTGGAATTGTTGTTGAGTGTCCCTTGATTTTGGAATTTTGCATTTTATTTTTGTTTGAGGTTTACGCGTTTTGCTTGTCCCGTTTCGCGACTGTGAGGGCTATCTATGTTTCTGTTAGAATATGTCATGATGGACCTATTGTGATGACTTTGAGTAGATACCATAAGGAGATAAAGTGATTAGAGATGGAGGATGCCGAAAAGCTTTCCAGTGGTTCGGGAAACAATGTTCCAGAGTCAAAAAGTGAAGTCGTAGACGCTAACGTTGAAAGCAAAACAGAGAAATTTCCCGGTTCAGCTACTGTCTTGGGCGATGTAACTGAAATGGAGAATGAAGGAGAAGATGTAAATAGATGTTCAAATGAAGTAAAAGACAACCATTGTAATGCCAAGGTGAAAGAAAAATATAATCACAATAGTGTGACCAACGAGGAAGGGTCTGTTCATGAAGAAATCAGTACCAAAAGTGGGAATGTTGAGCAAATAAAAGCTGTTGCGAAAAATGAGCTGAATGGTTGTGGAAGTTCAGTGGAGAAACAAGCAGATATGGGAAAAGAAGTGGTTGAACAAAAATCTGCTAGTTGTGGTTTGCAAGAGAACCCAACGGAGAAGGAGATGGACAATGGAAATCATGTGAAGGATGTGGCGGAAAAATTCAATGAAGATGTCAATGAGAAAATGCCTGAAAGAATCTGCGAGTTAAACTCGGATGGTGCTGAACGTGTTTCATTAGGAGAAAAGATAATGGAGACTGCTCATGTGGACCATGGGAAACTTTCTTCATATGAACCCCATGAAAGACAGGAAATGGATCTAGACAATGTTCAGCACGTTGAGGATGTAGAAATGAATGATACAGCTAATATGGATAAGTATAAACGAGACCAAGATAGTCTGATGGGGCAAGGCACGGAAACAGTTCTTCCTACTAAAACTGATGGTAATGACCAGACTGATGTAGTTTCTGCCAAACATGAAGAGGAAGACGCTTTGTGCCTGGACGAGCATGAAGCTGCTAAAACAGATTCCCTTGGTGTAAATTCTCCTGCCAAGGTTGAAGATGGAAGTGGAGAAAACTTAAAGTCTGTTTCTACACAAGCAATATTGCCGTGGGTAATATTTATGCTATATATATGTGTGTGTGTGTGTGTATGTGCGTGTGTGTGAATTATATCTACAAAAATTTGTATTGGTTGTTAACGTATAATATTTTTATTAGATGGGAGAAGGCGATGATGGAACACTAGAGGATCAAATTGCGTTCATGAAGGAACTTGAGAGTTTCCACAGGGAGAAGGCATTAGACTTCAAACCGCCCAAATTTTACGGGCAGCCACTAAATTGCCTAAAGTAAGCATCTCTTGTGGTTTGTCTTTTGAGGACTTTGATATTTGATATGGGTTCATTTTGTTACTTCATTGTTTGGTAGGTTATGGAGGGCTGTGATTAGGTTGGGAGGCTACGACACGGTACACTTGTCTTGATGGTTCTTATAGCCTTTCATTTTTGTGTATTTGTACTCTTGATTTAAGGGTTAGGATGGTGTGCATGAATGTAACTGGACCTGATGCATCCTAGAAAATTTTAAATGCTTATGAGGCTTTAGACTTGAAACCCTTGGTTTCTTTGACTAAGATTGAGGCAAATACTGAATTAATGCTTATAGATTACGTGATCTTCAGGCTGCACCCGGCTTACGTTGTTTTCTTAGTAGAATTAGAATACAGGAATGACACTGGATAGTTATAATTTGTTTTGTCAAGCATCAGATACCAGAGTATGTCCCTGGAACCTTGTCTGTAATGTTAGGTTGACTATAAAACGAATATGTCCTCTTGGATGAGTTTCGTTTGGCATTTGATTTTATGGATATGGATTATCTTAATCCTGATTTGGCATAACTATACCATAATTAAAATATTAGTTCATCATGTTCTATTTCCACATGTAAATCTATTCTTAGCTTGATTCAGAGTGGGAAACATTATAAATTGATAGGGTACATATCCCCATAGACATACAACCTATAGCAATCTGCAAGCTGTTATTATGTTTAGATTTATATTTATGGATATATCATAAGAACTGTCCGTGAAATTTTGTCTAGCTCATAAAAATCTTTCTAACTAATGGAAGACTAGTTGAAATATTGAAGCCTTAGAAAAATCATCTTGAAAAATACATGTAATATATATACGCAGGATACTCACATGCATTAATGCTTAAAGATACATATCTCTAAGCACATGGGTTGGGGATTGCATTTGGGAAAGGGGATTATATGTGAAGGGTGGGTTAGGTTTGTTGGGTTGGTGGGGAGATGGGTTCTTCTTCTGGCTATAAAAGTAAATGCACCAGCTATTTGAATTACATTGACATTTGATGGGTTTAGTAGAGGATATTCAGCTGCCATTTCAGTAGTTACGAAATTGTGATCCTTGAATAGGTAACTGGAGCCAAATTGTGGAGGCAGGTGGGAGAATCATTTCACCCCCCAAAGTAAGGCCTATTTATTATTATTATTATTATTATTATTATTATTATTATTATTATTATTATTATTATTATTATTATTATTATTATTATTATCATCATCATCATCATCATCTCCTTTGTCTTTTGGATTTGATGCTGCAATGTTTTCATCAATTGCCAGTGGGGTATACTTGTGGTTTGTCTTTGATTTTTCATTTGAGCATTTTGATATTTATAGTTGACACATTCAAAAGATGCTTAATTTTGTCTTTGGATTTAGTTTACATGGCTTTGTTAAAGAAGTTTGTTGTTGTATTTTCTTCCCATAATTCCCATAGCTTGTCTAGGCATATTCATGCGGCACTTTCAACAGAACTGAGTGAACCGGATTAAGCTTCTAAGTGTGATTCAATTGTTTTCTGTATTTTCTTTTGGCTGCAGAACTTGTACTACAGTGTCTTGGACGTTCCGCATTTTCTATGAGAAGGTGATAATTTTAGTCAAACTGCTTGCTGTAACAGTAGTTGGAACTGTGGTTTTGTAACCCTAATGCAGTTACCTTACGCCTAGACCAATTCTATTTCTATGGTGAAATCAACAAGAAGTAAGTGTATTATTTTATATGAATTTGTAGAAACAGAACGTTCATCTGCTCTGGACTTTTACTAGTATCCTTTATCTCTTTAAAATTGTGAAAGAATCGAAATTGTAATACAGCCATGAAATTCTCTTTTAAGGAATTGATTCGATTCGGCATCACTGATAATTATGTGATATTTTTTTTTTTATTTTTTTTTTTAATTTATAACTTTTTTTTTTTTTTTTTTTTTTT